GGGGGGAGGGGTGGAAAGGGCGGCGCTGGCGCGTCGTAGTGCGTTCCGGCGCGTCTCCTCCCCCTCCTTACGCCTCATCCTTCTTCTGCACCTCTTGTGGTTGCGACAGTTGCGGGAATCGGCCTGTGGAGTCGAGGAAGTCGAGGAGAGGGTCGCGGTAGGACGGGTTGCCGAGGAGAGCGCCGGCAGTGGGGAGTTTGCGTAATCGGAGGTGCTTGACGAGCGTGTTGCGAGCATTGTCGTAGAGCGGGCAGGTGAGCAAGAGATGTTCCCGATCTTCCTCCTCGCCGCATCCGCAGAGAGGGTCGCGTGCCGGGTCGAACTTGGCGCGGTAGGCGTTGAGAGAGGACGCGCCGGTGCGGAGGCGGCAGAGTAGGGTTGCTTGTCGCCTGCTGAGCCCGTCGTAGTACCTGAACGAGCGCGAGGCGAGCGGTGACGCGGCGAAGAGCTGGCGGCCGACGGTGGAGCGGCGCCATTCCTCATCCCACCGCGTGCGCGTCGCCTGCTTGTGTGCAGCCCATAGCGCCGAGATGCTAGCCGGTAGCTGAGCGTTGGACCAAGAGCCTGGCGAGCCGTCGTCGCTGAGTTGTGTGACGCGGGCCGACTTGGCGAGATGGCGGGTCGCCCGGCCTCCTCGCCCTCCCTCCTCCCACTCGCTCTCCCCCTCGCTCGACCCACTTGACAGTTCCGCCATCTCTGGCACGAACGCCAGACGCCCCTTCAGGTGCGCCTTGCGATCCCTCCGCGCCTCCCGCTCGCGCGCCGCTGACTCCATCGTCCGCACCGCCTCCTTCGCCGCCAGATCCGCGACTTCGTTCCCGACGACGCCTACGTGGCCCGGCGACCAGGAGAGGATGATTGAGGTGCTCACACAGGTGCGTTTGAGCTCCTCGAACATCCGGCGGATCGCCAGGCGAAGGTGTTGGCCGGATGACGGCGAGGGGTCGGACGGGTGGGTGAGGGCGGACGTGTTGTCGACGGACAGGAGGACGCGAGAAGGCGGGTCAGCGGTGTGTTGGACGGCCTGGAGTGCTAGGAGGATCCCTTGGATCTCGCCCGCGTAGACCGTCTGATACTGACCCGTCCCTTTGCTCGTCGTCTCCCATCCCTCGACCTCGACTCCTTCTCCCTCCTTCAGGATCACCTTCGACCTCCCATCCCACTGTCTCCCTGCGACTCCGGCGCCTACCAGACCCGACTCGCCCATAGATCCGTCCGAATAGACGAGGAGGGAGCCAATGGGGAGGGACTGGACGGCTTGGCCGTGCTCGTACGTGCCAAGTTCCTTTCCGCGGGCGAGCGCCACTGGCGGGGCTGGGTTGGGTGACCAGGGCGGAACGGGGTCGGTGTGGATGGGCTCGACGGTTGTGTATCGGAGGAGTGGGAAGTCGAGGGCGCGGTCGAGAGGGGAGGGGTGGCGGGTTGCTGGCGAGCGGCGGGCGCGGTTGGTGCGGGCGTGAAGGGGGTGTGATGGTGTTGCGGATAGAGCGCGCAGGCCGAGGCGGAAGACGGCGCGGTCGAGTTGGAGGTGGATCGGAAGTAGGCCGGCCTCGATTTCAAGGGCTTCACCAGCTGCCGAGCGGAAGCCGCCCGTCACTGCCATCGCTCCTGCCTTGAGGACGCGAGCTAACTCTTTTGTCCTGTCCCTACCCTTAGCAGGGTCGTACCACGCCGCACCTGCCCACAACAACCTCGGCACGACACAGGCGACGACGAGCTGACGGGCGAGTCGCGGTTTGAGGCCGGCTTTGGAGCGCGTCACGAGGGCGATTGCGGTGGCCGAGGCGGATGCGCGGGAAGCGCAGGATGCGGTGTGGGGGCGGAACGACAATCGTGAGTCGAGTTTCGATCCCAGCATTGTCAGAGTCGATTTGAACTCGATGCGGTGGCCGCGGAGGACGACTCGGGAGGGATTTGTGGGCATGGCGCGGGCAGGAGGGAGGAAGATTGTGGCTTCTGTCTTGGTGGGCTCGAAGGCGGACGAGTGCGAGTCAGACCAGCCTTCGAGGCCCGGCACGATCCGGTTCATTGCGCTGACCGCTTCGTCGACCGTCTTGCCCCATGACAGGATGTTCACGTCGTCGATCCAGCCAAATCCGCATGTCGACGCTGATTCGCAGGACTCGAGGAGCGGCGAGTTGTAGATGAGGAAGAGGATGGGTGACAGCGGTGAGCCTTGCGGAAGTCCACTTGTCCATTCGATAGACTCGCTGACGATGCCTTCGAGTTGTAGGGTGCAGGACCGGTCCGACAAGAACGAGCGGATCCAGCGGTAGGCGTGATCGGGCAGGCCGCGGGACTTGAGGTTCTCCGTGAGCCTTCCCGTCTGTACGCTTGGGAATGCCTTGGAGACGTCGAGCGCCAGGCCGACGACCGCATTTCCGGCCCTCCACTGACTCTTGATCTCGTCAACGACGCAGACGACCGCATCTTCCGCCGACCTCCGCTTCCATCCGCCGAAGTGCGAGGCCGGTAGCATCCCGTGCGACTCGGCTAGGTGCGCTAAGCGAGCTGCGACGACGCGCTCAAGCCCCTTCGCGATACAGCGCTTGAACGCGATCAGACGGTAAGCCTTCGGGTCTCGGTAGTCGGGTTTTTTGGGTTTGCGGAGGACGATGCAGGAGGCGTCGCGCCAGGACTGGGGGACGTGTCCGAGGGCTAGGGAGGCGCAGTACAGCGGGGTGAGGAGCGGGAGGAGGAGCGGGAGGAGGAGTTGGAGGACGTGGTTCGGGATGTTGTCCGGTCCGCAGGCGGCAAACGGTCGAGCCTGCATGATCGCTGACTCCACTTCGCACTTGTGCAGGTCCGGCCAGGGCAGGGATGTCGTTGGCGGGGAGTGCAGTACGTCCTCGTCGAGTTCTGCGGGATTTGAGCGGTCCTCGCTTGCGCGGGCTTCAATTCCGTCGGGACTCGTGCGCGTAGCCCTCAGAGGGTTGCAATACGACTGGCGGGAACGTACTTGCTGACGTTCCTCGCCTTCAGGAACCAACCCCGGCCTCGTTTTCGTCTTCCCCTTTCCATCTCCCTTCGCCACGTCGTCCGCCTTTGCCGCCCTTGTCGCTGCCGTCCTTGTCGCCGCCATCCTCGTCGCCGCCGTCGTCATCGTCGTCGTCTTGGTCGTCGCCGTCGCCATCGTCTTCGCCGTCGTTTCTGCGGAGGTGCGTCTTGGCTCACTCGCGTGGCGGTCGTCTGCTTCGAGAGTAGCGGGGTGGACAATAAACTCGGGGCTTACTTGTGCACCACTGACTCTCCTCCCTTCTTCCGCCTTTGCAGGTTGCGGTACTGGCCGGCGCGAAGTTGGGCAGTCGTGGTTGCGGCCGGGTGGAGGTTGGGTTTGCGGGTGCGCGGCGGGTAGTTGGGAGGGCGAGGCTGCTCGAGGAGGGTTTGGGAGGACGGTGAGAAGGAGGATCGGGCGGAGGAGGCCAAGTTTGTCGAGGGCGGAGGTCGCGTACGTCCCGTCTCCTTTTCGGAGCGGCGGGGTCGTGGTGTTAGCGGTCGAGGATTCACTGATCCGTTTCTTGACTGTCGTCCATAGCGTTGCCTCCGTCACGCTCGCCATCTCGACCTCTTCCCACTCATCCCTTTTCCTCCTCATCATCGCCTTCATCACATTCCTCGACCTCTTCTTCTCCGCCCACGCCCCTCTCTCATCTTCCTCACGACCTGCGATGCCTCGGAGTCTGAACGCGAGGTTTGCCGAGCGTCTCGCTGCCTTGCTCGCCTTGGCGAGCTCGTCGTCCCACCACGGGACTACTCGTCCGGCTCGGGCTCGGGCAAAGGGCGTGGCTGCGGAGATGGCGATCTGGAGTGCATCGGTGAGTTGGTCTGCTCGCTGATCGATGTCGGCGGGCGGGTGAGGGGCGTTGAGGTTGGGAGGCGGGAGGTTGCATCGGTGAATGCTCGTTCGAGGATGGCGGGATCAGTGCGGCGGAAAGCGCGGCGGGGTGGTGGGGTGTAGGTGGAGGTCTCGAGCGCGAGGACGAGTCGAACGGGGCGGTGGTCGGATCCGGATTCGAGGTCATCGGCGAGTCCTCAGCTGACGACTCGGTCTTCTGCGCGCAGCGAGCCGAGCACGAGGTCGAGTGGTCGCTTCGGGTGTTCGAGGTTGTGCGGGTGGTAGGTGATGGTGTTGGGCGCGAGGAAGTGCACGAGGTTGAATCGGGAGAAAGTGCGTACTGCTACTTCCGCTGCTTTGTCCGGTTCGCCCACTGACTCGTTCCACTCCGGATGCAACAGGTTGAAGTCGCCGGCGACAATGACGAGCGAGGAGGGGGGAGTCGCGGCGAGCAGCGGTGGGAGGATAGTGGAGACGGAATGGTTGTACGGTAAGTACCTCACCTCCTTCCCTCGCTCGTTGCAAGGGTTGTACACGCTGATCACGCGTATCTTCTTGCCCTCCAACAGCTCGACATTGACTGCCACGACGTCGCCCGAATCAACCGCGACTTGCGTCGCAGTGGCCGGACCGAGGCGGGTCGAGAGGAGGATGAGGTTGTAAATAGGCGCGGGTTCGTCGTCGGGGTGCGAGGTTGGTGGTGGTGTGACAAGTCGCCATCTGGGATCGTTGAAGGGCTTGAGGGGGCGAGGAGGTTCTTGGATGAGGAGGATGTCGGTGGTGGTCAGGTTGGGGTTTTTGCGGAGGCGGAGGAGGTTTTCTTCGGAGCGGTTGAGATTTTAAGTGGTGATTGTGAGTGTGCGCATGTTCATTGGGGAGGGGAGAGGAGGTCGAGGGGGTCAGGCGACTCCGAGCGCGACTGACTCGGTTCCCTTCACAGGCTCTTCTCCTTCGGTGCGGGTGCGACAATGCGCCTCGCCCTCGACGTCACCCTCCTCTTCTCCTCACCCTCGCTTCTTTGCTCGCTCTTTGCCTGCGCCGCCGTCTTCGTCGTCCTCGCCTCCTCCCCCTTCTTCGAACGGTCGACCTTACGCCATTCCTCTTTCTTTTCTCCGACTTCCTCTTTCGCTTTCGCGATGGGGAATTCCGCCTCGGTCTCGTCCGCCCACGAGCGGTCCGCCCCGCCATCCGCCTCGCTCGTGGTCGGTTCGAAGTCGACAATCGGCATGGGGCGGTACTGGGTTGGGCGGTCGGTGAGCGGCGTCGGGACATGAGACCAGATCCCGCTAGTGGTCTCGGACTCGAGGAAGGGCAAGGGAGATTGACGGCGGGCGGCGAGTCTTGGGGAGAGCGGCGAGTTGCCGACGAGGATCATGTCGGAGGTGGATGGTGCGGAAGCGCCGGTTGATGGCGTCGCGTCGATGCAGTGGAGCTCGCTGGAGGGCGCTCGTAGCGAGGGCAAGAACGGTGCGTACTCCGACTCTGCGGAAGTAGAGGATTCCTCGCTAACGCGGGTTTCAACTCCGTATGACTTCGCAGGTGCGTGTAGCGCCGGGGCTGCATACTCGACTGGCAGGTGACTTACTTGCTGACACATTGCACCCGCAGGAGTCTTCTCTGCTTCAAGAACGGTCCCGAGGTCGCTGTTGCCGGTGGAAGTTGCGCCGACGGCTGATGGGGCGGAGGCGTCCTTCGATGGCGTCGCGTAGGTGCGGGGGAGCTCGTTGGAGGGTGCTCGAAGCGAGGGCAAGAACGGTGCGCTCGTTGACTCTGCGGAAGTAGAGGATTCCTCGCTAACGCGGGATTCAACTCCGTATGACTTTGCAGGTGCGCGTAGCAGAGGGGCTGCATACTCGACTGGTGGGGGACTTACTTGCTGACCAGTTGCCCCCGCAGGAACCCCATTCTCTTCAAGGACGGCGCCGAAGTCGTCGTTGCCGGATCTCTCGATGTAGAAGTCGGACAGTTCGGGCGGGAGGATGGGCTCGAACGGGTTTGTGGGATAGGATAGGATAGGATAGGATAGATTCCGAGTTTGAAGTCGTTCAGGCCTGGAAAGACCCATGTCGACTTGGGGCCACCTACAAGGGCGAGCCGCCAGACGCTGCGGGAGCTACGAGAGGGAGAGGAGTG